CAATGCCGATATCTTTGTTCCAGAGAAGTGGGCTTCCTCTTCTGAAGGCTTAAAAACAATAGTGTCTGCTGGCAAGCTCAGTTCCTGTAAAAATCAGGCACAAACAAAATATGCATAGGTTGGTGTTTCAGTACAGCCTCAGTACACAGAAAACACTTGTGCCTGGGGATGTCCTTTTTCCCCCAGCTTTATCAGTACCTTGCTGATTGCCCTCGTTATATCAGTACTGCTAATAAACACTACTGTAAACCTTCATGCATCATAGTACCAGGAAGGCCCCCTACTTTCCCTAAGGAATTTAAAAAACGGGACTTTTTGACCATTTCTTAGCTGCAGCAGCGTGTTGGCCATTGTGCGAACCCCCCTGGGGGAGCTGAGAGCTTGGAGCAGGGCTGGCACAGCAGATGGGGAGGAGCTGGGGACGTGTTCAGCCTGTGTGCTTGCTTAGCAGTATAAATGGGTTGAACACTGAGGAAAGTTGAAGTCAAATTGATGTACACAAAATAATGTATTTCTGCATAACTGCACTAATTATATGGGGATTCTCCCTTTAACTATACAGCCGTTACCTTTTCTTTGATTGAATTAAATAGTGAGAAGCCTCCAAGGCTTGCTGTTACTCTCCCTTTCTTGCTTAAATCTCTTTTCCTCTTGCTTGTTTTATCAATCAGTGATTACACCTGAGGATTTTGCAGTGTCTCTCTTTGGTCAGTTTAGAGATGTTTGTGTTGTCTTGCTCTCTAAAGCCTTGCACACACAGGATAATTTTCCTGGAGAAGTGCCTTGGCCACCTCAGAAGTGCCCTTGTGCCAGCAGCTGACTGCTCTGCTGCTGCCCTGACCTCTGTGGAAGGGACTGATCCTGGAAATAAGTTGATCCTGATCTGAATAAGCCTGTCAGTACAAGCAGATGATGCTTTGCTGCTCATAAAGCAGGAACGAATTTGTAAGAACGAATAAACGTTTGCCTGAATTACGGTGGTGCTTCACCAGCTTTTGCAGTTGTGTTAGAGCAGCTTAAGGTGCTACAAACAACGCAAATTTAGGCAAAACCATTTAACTCTGTACTATACCAGAGAAAGACTTTGACCATGACCATCTTCCACCCGAAAAGCCACCACGAGCAGTGGCGTGGGTGGTAACATTTAGAAACTGCATCGCCTGGTAGCAGGACGGTAGCAGGAGTGACTTCCAGCCTTGCGTCCCTGCGTCCCTTCAGATCATTTTCCGTCATATTTCTCATCACCTTATCCTCACTGACTCTCTTTGTGTTTTCCTCATTGCACTCTTCAAGTATTTCTTAGTCGGTGTTTCAGGTCACCTTAATGAAGCTGGAAGAAAAACTACTTTTGAAAGAGCAACAGTGACAGTCAGCTCAGCGGTGGGACTCCTGTGGCCTCCACTTTGCTAGGTCCCCTCTGATGCAAGTGTCTGGCCCCGCCTGACCTGTGGCTCCAAGCAATCCTGTCTTTGTAGTGGTTTGAATTTGCTGCAAATAGGTCACCCTATCTAAGAAAGATCCATAAGAAAAGAATCCTGAACATTTTAATTCGCAGGCGTTTCTGAACTGGCAATACTCTTGACAGTGCACGGTGGAGCTTATAAATAGCTCCTCGAGTGCCTGTGATGTCACCAACCACAAGAGCGTCTGACTTGTGATTTATTTCATCAGATCGGGGCTTGTTCATAGGCTTGTAACCTGCAGCTTATTTACAGTCAGTACACCCACTGTTATTCCTCAGACATCCCAGTGTTGAGCAGATACATAAATGCTGCCTGGGACTGAAACAGTAAACAACCAATTAAAAGTTTAACCTCTTCCTTTCCGGTCTCGCCATGTATTATTAACTGAGGATACTGTTGCTTAAATTAAGGTTATGTCAGATAACACAAATAGGTGTTCTTTCATTTGCCTCATGTGTATCACATTTGCACACAGAATACTTGCAGATTTTTGAGCATCTATGCTCAAAAATAATTTCTCATTAAAAATGCATTTATTTAAAGACGTTCTTTCATTTTTTTTCAGTGCAAGAATAAAATAATGAAAGCTCATTTCTAGAATTTAAAGAAAGAAAAATTTTAATTCTTTTTACGGTTTTTGACACTGCACACATAAATTGGTTTATCTAAGTAGCAGTTTGCAAACCCGGAGTTGGACAATATAATTAAAAATGGAAAAGCTTGGTACTCGGATTAATTAAGCTAAATAACATTCAGATTTTATGTCATATCTTTTTGGTGGGGGGTAGGGGATCTCGTTCACTTTGGCTTTGTTTTGGAAGAGGTCATAGTTAAGGCTTTAATATTTAAATACAAGCCAACATAAACCTCAGGCATTAATGAATCCTGAATGTAACAATGTTAAGATTGGAAAACTCTTTGTCCTGCTCATGTTCCCTAGTATTTCTGAGTTCCAGAGATCACCTGATTTCCAATAGCCCAGTCACAGAGAAAGGCACCCAGCTAGAAATCTACTGAAAGAACTAAGACCTTTTGACTGACGCTGGTCCAGCCAGATTCATTGAAAAATAGACAAAAGTCTACTTTTCACCTGAGAAGAATGTGTGATTATATTCAGGTGTCTGAAAACTGGCATATCCTGGTATCTGAGAGCGGGCAGGGGAGTAACTGCGTCATTGAGAAATGGCAAAATGGGAAATAATGTATGTGGCTACTCTTAACTGAATATCAGTACATCTTGCTGGCACATTAGCATATGTTCTCTGTCGAAGGTTATCGTAGAGCAATTGTGATCCTCCCTTTAAAAAAAAAACCCACTCAGGTAAATCTAAGACTACAGGAGAAGAAAGTAATTAGTAGCACTAATGTCCTGCAAAATACCTCTGTATGCCTTGCGGTTTCATAGCCTGTGATCTTAAAAGCATAGCCCGTGTCCTGAGATCAGAGGCTCCGTTTGTATTCTCATGGGACAAAGTACCCTAAACCAGCTAGTAGAACAAGATCAAACACTACATGTCGGTGTGATTTGCAAGGGGACACAAAGGAAACTTTTCTTTAGCTGGCTGGTCCTTTCTAAACATTCAGTTGTATTTGTTAAAAGATTTACAATGTTAGCGGCCCTTACCGGAGTTGGGACAGATAAGACAGTTCAAGGTGCATGAGAAATCTAGTTTATTGCAGTCTGCACTGTACAGATTTTGCATTTTATACCTAACCTTGTTTAGTAAATAGTGAGCTGGCTAGCTAAGGTGTACTGGTAGCCATGAAAGAGAAATCTAATGCGCAGCACGTCAGAAATATTTCTTCCAGCTGGGTTTATATACATCTGTAGGTGGCCACAAAGATTTTTTTATTTTATTTTTTTTTACTGGGCCTGCTTTTGAGTACGAGTATTTTCAGACTTGCTCATGAAGTAGGCAGAGGGCTCAGTGGAGGTCATGGCAGTGCCATGTGCTTGCCGTTTCTGAAAAGAAGAGCCAAGGTGCCTTGAATGTCAAGAAAAATGCTTATCGTTGTGCAAAGAAAAAGTATTTGTGTGCCCTGCTGCTAATCTCAGGTGTTTAGTCATCAAGGAAGAGACCTTCAAAATTTAGAAATCAAAGGATTATTAAATAAATGGAAAAAAATTCCTTTTTTATGCCCTCTGGATATGAGTGCCATTGGTGTACAGAGAAGTTGTGTTTTCAGGCTTTTCTATGCAGCCGTGACAGCTTGAATGCCGTTTCCCTTTGATCAAAGCACCTGTGCAACCCTTTGATACTGGCAACTGCAGCTTTAAAGAAAATAGTGCAAAACTTTCTTGTATAAAAGTATGCAGACTTTTTGTATCATCCAGTTACTGGCACACTGACACAGAGTAGTGCTGGAGGCTGACTGGGGGCCTTCAACGATTATCAGTGTGTGTTTTCCTATGTCTTACCATCTCCCTGGACACATGGCAGCAGCCACTGTCAGAGCCTTTACCTTGCTCTGCTGGGGTCTTTCTTGCATCTTATTTTGGATTTGGAAGAGTTAATAAATATAAGGATTCATTTTTCCCCCTCCCTAATTAGATCCCATAGGAAAAATGCCACAAGCCTCAACTACGTCCTTAATCTCCTGAACAATAGAAACCGTATTAAAAAAAAAAAAAAATAACTGTCTTCCTGGGAGGGGTGGCTGCTAGTCAGTGACCCAGAGCTGGGTTTCTGGTGCAAGCCTTGCGTGGGCTGGCCGAGGGGAGCAGCGAGGGTGGCCACCTGCAGCTGCTGAGGCACCTCCTTCTTAGCTGGGCTGGGTTGGGTTCCTGCCAGACAGGCGTGTGGTGGCCCGAAAACTGGCAGGGCACTTTGCAGAAGTGTGGAGAGGCATCGGGGAAGGGGAAGGTGGGTGAGCAGCTTTTGCTCACCTCTGCAAGAAGCACTTTCCTACCAGGGCAGGGGCACTTTGGCAGAGGGACAGGGTGGATGGATGTCCCGCGCTTGCCCAGCTTGGCTTCTGGAGAGGTGCCTTCCCTCTCCAGGTCTGTTAGCTCCCCAGCACTAAAAATACTTCTCTGAAACGTGCCCTTCTCTGCATGCAGCCGTGCAGAGCCTTAGCTGGACTGGCAGAAAGCAGTCTCCTAGTGTCTTCTGTGTACTTCAGGAAGGGCACCATCAGCTACCCAGGACCATTAATCAAAAGAATTGGGACAGGGAACTGCACACGTTAGCCCAGCCTCTCCTCAGTTCCTCCTCCCTCTGACTCAACAAGTGGTGTAAGCTGCAAACAGCATCTTATCCAAGCAGCGTGTGTTTTATTTCCATAACAAATTGAGGTATTAGGAATTTTAAGCCCCAGATGTTTCTCAGGGTTATGTAAACCAAGAGGCACCCAGATGCCCACATAAGTGCAGAGGGAAAACCCCTTCAAGAACACGTGCCTGGCCCATGGTTGCACTGCGCTGCCAATCAGTGCTATTCAAACTGTGAGGTGTAACAGGCTGAGACAGCAAAAGCCCAAGAAGAATAAGGTGAAGTTGTGAAATGACACACTGTTCCTTTTTTTCTTTTCCCCCAGGTGGGCCTTGGCAAAACTCTAGAATATTTGTGGCTCCCAAATCAACAATCAAGTTCTTCTATGCATGAACTCTGGCAGAAAGCTAACCAACAGAAAGAGGCCTAAATAGCAGAGTATCAAAAGGAAAATAGACAGGTAAATATTACATTCACTGTTTCCCAGTGTACTGGACTTCATTTTCCTCTCCTTGTTTCAATCGCCTTTTGAGACAGAGAATTGTTGTTAGGAAACGAGAAGAAATTGCCTCTTGTTTTGTCACATTGAGGCATATAGGGAAAGTTTGAAAAGGTTTCAGTTTTTCTATTTTTAGAACTGTCACAAATACTGATTCAGTTTCTTGGAAGTCTTTCTTGGTGAACTTGAGATGTTGACCTGGAGGTTTCTGAATTCTTAGAGAAAGTAGCTGGAAATTTATATCCTTCCAGCAGTTTATTTTGTCCTTTCAGTTGAAGAGATATTGATGAACACACATTGATAAAAACAGCTGTTCCTGCCTCTGGGGTTCCTGTACTGGGGTTCATCTCCACCACAGTAGCTCTGCTGAAAAGAGGGAAGGGATCTCCTGGTGTGGATTCAGTCCTGTGTGAGCTGTTGCTCTGCTTTCTTCTGCGACACTCTGTCCCTCACCCAGAATGGGCAACCTGCCTCTACCTATCACCTATCTGCCCTGGGATGTCCTGCGTTACAGAGATCAGTGACATGACCTGGCCTTATCTTGTACTAGGAAATTATAGAGCCATTAGGAATGCGGAAAATACCTTTTCTCTCCCTCTCCTCCCACCAGTCAACTGCAATCAGCACAAGCTGTAGCATAAACGCAGTGATAGAGGCAAAAGCAGGAGGCTTTTTGCTGGTGTGGCTTACTATTACTATCTGAGAAAATAAGCTGCAAATGCAATATTGAGGTGTGCTAGTTACAACATTGCCTCTGGAGCTGTACCTTGTTTGATGGAGGCAAAGAGCGAGATTTGAAACTGTGCAACCAGGGAGGCAGTAAAGTGTTTTATTAAAAGCTGCAGCACCCTGAGGAGCAAAGGAACCAAGTTGTAGGCACCCAAGAAAAGCATTTTATAATGTTTTGAGGACATCCACATGCACATGGTGCCTTTCTAAGGGGAGCTTCACAAAACTCTGTGTGTGTGGCTTCTCATCTCAGCTTGCCTCTATTGGGATACCAAGGAATCCCCGGTTAGGATACCACCAGGCCTTTCTGGCTTGAAGGTACTGACTGCAGTAGTAAGTGGCTGACTCAATTTCAGCCTAGTGGCCTCCTAAAACTCACAATATGTGCCAGATACAAGAAGCTCTTCATCACGCAGGTATCTCCAAAGAACCGAATTGAGGCCAGCATATCCTGGCATGCAGAGTACTAACCAGTCCTCCAAGGCTGAGTCACTGTCTGTTCTCACCAGACCAGGTTTTCAATCAGGTCAGAGGATCAGTCGTTCATTGTCAAAACCCTTAAGCTCTCTCTCCTCCTTTGCCAGTAAAGCCCTTTAGCTTTCTGCCACTGTTTCAAAGCATTATTCTTTCAAAGTGGCCTGTGCTTGATTCCTCCTTAATGCCCCTCTCTGGAGAGAAGCAAAGACAGTGTAGCCCTCAATCGGGGCTGGGTGCCCTATGCCTGTGACCTTTACCATCCTAACCTGCCCTCATCTTGCCCGACAGCATTAATTGCCTCTTAGGGCAGCTTTGTCGCCAGCTCTGGGAGGTGAAGCCAGACAGCTCACGCTTCCGATCGTTAGGCACTAGTAATAGCCAGTTTGGGTCCTGGTATGAGAGAAGGAGAGGCTGGTAATACCCTTGGTTCAGTGCCCCATTAGAGTGAAGGAATCCTCAAAATGTGGGTTAGTTTCAGCTGAACCCCCTCCCTTCCTGACCCAGGATCTTCCTCATCTTCTCTTTCAGCTCTGCACCACAACCCACATGAGGAGGGCGTGATGCTATTTATTCTTGTTTCCTCCCTCCCCGGGATCCTATCAGAGAGGCCAGCCTGAGTCAGAGGCAGAGGCTGTGACTGAAACAAGGGAGAAAACTCGGAAATGCACAGATTTTAGCCCAATGTGGCTACCCAGCTCTGTGAAGGAAAACTGGGCCTCCAAAAAATGTGTGAGATACTCAGCAAAATAGCAGGTAGGGAAAGACTATGTGAATTAGAAACTGCCTAGCAAGCAGCAAAAAAGGAGTGGCTGGCTTGTCATAGGTAATGAACAGGACTGAGAAGAGTGTTGTAGCATGGGTGTTACATGACCTTCTACCCTCTCACAGTATCTGCTATTTTTGGACATTTGCTGAGAAGAATCCCTCCAAGATCACTTTTCTGGTTTATTGGGTGGTGATAGTTGGGTTTTCCAGCACAAACATAACTGTGCTACAGTGAGAAGTTTCCAGCAGGGATACTTTTCAACATGCATTTGGATGAGAAGTCATTTAAAAGCCTATGACCTGCATTTAGCAGGTAGAGGCAGGGTGCCGCAAACCAACAACACATCTCCAAATATTCTAGTCCCTGATATGTAAATCTAGCTGCTGGCAATGTGTTCCCATTGTATATTAAGCAGCACAGATCTGGAAGTATCTGGAAATACTTTCCACATCCAGATCTCCCCAGCAAGAACCATGTCTTAGGCAGATTGCATTTTTATTGCCTTCACAGCCTTGCTCAGATGATATCCCGGTGTTTAAGGTGAGCTGTGTGAGTAATGGGACTTCAGTATAATGGAGCCATTTGCTTCGGCCCAAGTGAACTGGTGCTTAATGGTCTGTACAGGTATATGACCTCTGGTTGCAATCTGATCAGCTATCACTAACTAAAAGAAGTGGAGTCATGCTGATAATGGGAGGGCAATGGAGAGTTTTGGGGTATTGTCCAAAGTAGGAATGACTGGTCAGTAGGTGGCAATCTTATATCTGAAGCAGGAAAGGCCCCCACAGTGCTAGAAAAATCTGTGCTACTGGCCATGTCTTCAGTGAGATGTGTAACAGTGAGGTCTGAATGCTTTGTGTACTGGTTCTAATAGCCTGGATTTAATTTTCTTTGCAGTGTGTTAACCTTGTACCCTTGCCAAGTCCCAGATGTTATGACTTAGTTTCCCTTCCCTCAATTCTTCCGTGCCCTCTGGTTGCATATCTGATAGGTTATATACAGCCTTCTCCTTCACCAGGGGCCAGATGTATAGCTTTGCTATTTGCAGCTAGAAAGCTGCTATGGAATGGAAGAACCATGCGAATGTAAGCCATGAATTATCATTAACCTAATCTTCTGTTCAGATGTGTGAGAGGAGGGCATCTCAATCCTTCCAGAGATGAATGGTGGCCTCACAGACTTTGCCGGCCTGGTTTGTTCATGCAAAGTCAGTCAACTGCAGCAGTTTGATCAACGCCACCTTTAATTCAACACTGCAGCTTAGGCTTCCTTGCTCATAGAGTGCTGACTTGAGAAATGCTTTCATTTGAGGCTTTTTATTATATACAGAAAAAGAGTGCTGCAAACCATTTCCAGAGCTTTTGACCTCATTTGCAGAATGTCAAGGGGGAGAGAGGCCGTGAAGCATAAGGAGAGTGGTTGGGACCAGGCAGGGAGTATGCAGCAACGGAGGCATTTATGAGACGTATTGTCCTTCGCTAACCCAACCTGTGTTGACTTCTTGAGAAATCCTTGGGTATGGCCTGTTACCTGAAAGGCACTTCATGCACTTGTGGGGAGGGAGGAGGTGAGAAAAAAACTGGTGCCACTTCTTTTAAAGTGAATTTAGCATTGATGACAGTAACTTGTTCATAGCCCTGGAGCCTGAAGCCTTGTCTTTACACACAGAGGTATGGAGAACAGGCAGGGCTGTCCTGCATTTGCTCTAGGTGGACTGGGGCCTTGTGCCCATGAGAGTGCAGGTGATGTCCTGCAGGAAAGGGGTGGGTGTCAGTGCTAGCCAGTTCTTTCTTATGGACCCTTCTGGGGCGCCTGTCACCTATAATGGCCAGACTTCTTACGAGCCTCACAGTGCCAGCCCCTAGTACAAGGCTGAAATAGCGCTTACCCTGATTTCAGGGAAGCAAAGTGAGGGGTCTAAAAGTTAGGTGATGACTTGGACATGGTCAAGTGACAGGTTTGTGGCAAGGCAAGCAGTTACACCAAAGCCTCTCAAATTCTTATTCTTTCTCTTGGGTTAGAGCAGTTTCAGTTGCCTGTTCAGATCTCAGCCCCATAATTGAATACCTCATTTGGGCTCATCGCAAGTGAGATGTGAACCATGGAGGCCTAAAACTCATGTTGCTCAGCCTGCCAGAGGTCACTGACTGGAATTTGACAGCTAAGCACTGCTAGTCTGTGCTTGATTTAAGCTGGCAGCCTTCTTGCTGAAGTCAAGGTCAATGGGAGTAGCGCAGGGAAGTGAAGAGGCTATCGCAACACACAGGAGCCACCCAGGCACCCACAAGTGGTTTGATTTCTCCCCCCCAAGTTTTCACAACGCACATCCATGGATTTAGGTTATAACCCCAAATGTGTCGCAACAAGTTATGGCTTGGAGCACATTTTGTCTGCAGTGTTTGCACGGTCTGTCTCGCGAGCAGCCAGGGCTGTCCCAGGCACACCAGCACGGTGGGCTGCAATGCCTGGATGAAGCTCCCAGGTAGTGAGCCAGGCTTCAGCTCCCATCCTGCTGTAACCTGAATCACATCAAGCATGAGCTCATTGAAACAGAGACCTCCCTACCGAGGTGTTCCACTCCACGCCTGGCCGCCTAGGGCTTTTGCCCAGAGAGCTTGGGATGGACACCACAGCAGAACAGATCGGTGGTGGGTGGGAAGGAAAGGGCAAGCATCGGAACTGCGCTGGCTCGGGCAGCCGCTCACACCCCTGCCCACCAAAGCAGTGGTTCAGAACCTGACCCAATTTCAGCCCCCGCTGGCTTCAGAGGAAAAAGGCTGTGGGGCTTCCAGGAGGAGGTTGCACAACAGCCGATACCAGGTGAGCTGCAGGCTGAGGCAGGTGCATTGCCAAAGCAGTGTTGCCACATGTGCCGCAAGGATGAGCGAAGGATACTGGCATTTGGCGTCATTCATACACAGAGACGATTTCCTCTTCCCGAGTCAAAAGGGAGGGGAGGGAGGGTTAAGCATGGTTGTGACTTTAATAC